TTCTTGTCACACGAATTTAAACAATTATTTGCTAACTAGTTCTTAAGATTTGTCATTTTCTACAGTAACTGAGATTTACACAGTGAAAATCTTACACAGTAAAATAATACATAATAATTGTACACAACAATTTTATAACAATGTGGACGCCACGACTTCCTTGTACTGTCTATTAAATTACACACATTCTTTGCTGCATTTCATTTAAGCTTATTTTCTTAAATTTCATTAGATATATGTTTTTCATTCAGTTAATTCAGTTCTAACTTCGCGGCAAGGCAAAAATACATAAAAACTGAAAATATCTTCATTAAAAATTGTAAAATATAAAAAAATTTAAAACACGAAATACAGTTAAAAAGAGTAAAATAATAATAATTTTACATTTAAAATTTAGAGATTTTAGGCAAAAACAAGAAATTCGGCCAGCGGGTAGGAATGTAGATTTCTCGGTGCACAAAATTGAAAGCTTACTTTTGGTCCCATTCGAAAAAAAGATAATGAATTTGGTGCACAGACTCAATTCACTATTCTACTAACAGGTTCAAATGTAAACAAATGGCAACCTCATTAGGCTTAGTAGCACTTAAACAACTTTTAAATTTTTTATAATTATACAACTATTGCATGTAGATTAAATAAAGGCATAAAAACCTTAACCGGAACATAAGAACAACCTAATTTAATCACTTTTAAAGCAAAAAAGCACTATTTAACAACAAATTTAAAAAAAAAAAAAAAAAAAGCTCACCAAACTGAATAACTAAATGGGTATATATATACGGTTGGTGAGGCAGACTGCTACAAAGAAAGGGAGGTGCACAACTACATGTTATAGCACTCCCATATATACAAATATATGGGATTATAATATTATCTTAAATTAGGGGTCTTCAACCTTTCTCACCCGAGAGCCACATCAATAAACTTGCAACGATCCGTGGGCCACATGTCTGTCAAAAAATAGTGTAGTCAGAAAATTTATATGAAAAAGGAGGTTTGTTTTGAAAGACTACAATTGATTCTAACGAAAGAGATGGTGTTACACATTTGTATATATATATACATTGGTTCCAAAAAGTCAAATGAAAATTGAATTAAAATCTTTTGCAGCATTTTTAACTATAAATATATATATATATATATATAAAGATGATTGTACAGAACGATGTTGCAAAATGCATTTACAATTAAAAAAAAAAAAAAAAAAAAAAAAAAAAAAAAAAAAAAAAACTTGTATTACTGATGGAAGATTGTAGTTACTTTAGTTTTAATGTGAAATTTGACATTGTTTTTGCTTGATTAAAGTTTCAATATCTGGATTAATTTGCTTTGTTGCAATTCCTAAAGTTTCCTCCAAATGTATGTCTGTCAGCCATGTTCTTGTTTTTGGTTTTAGGATTTTCATTTTGCTAAAACATTGTTTACATATGCAGGTACTGCCAAAGTTAGAAAACATGAAAAGTGCATGTTTATGAATTCCTGGATACTTGTCTTTGGTCACGTACTTCGAATAAAAATCAATCAATGTAGGACTTTAAAAAAAACTTGCATTTTACTGCAGAGTCGAACTGTAAATCTATAAATTCTAATTGAAGTTCAGGTGGAACACTTGAACTTCAATTAGAATCTACATCTACTGAAAATGGCGACATTCTCATGAACATTTCATTTTCCCAAAAATAGGAAAATCTAGGTTTTGAATCCCTCTTTCAACTTTGAAATGCATTACGAACAAGTAGATCTTTTTCTAGTAAGCAGTAGTACCTGCAAAATCGACAAGAAATGCAAAGTCTCTCAACCATTTCTAATCACTGAACTCATGAATACATTTCTCTTTAGATTCCATAAATTGTTGAACTTCGCTCTTCAAAGCAAACTGGCGCTGAAGCCTCTTTTCTCGGCTCAAACAACGTTACTTCCGCATTATACACAATGTCACCATATTCAACTTCCAAATCACTCAAGAACTTTGAAATTGCCTATGTTTAAGTTCCTTTAGATGAATGAAATTAACCATTTTTACAACAGAGATAAGAATCTACCCTTTTTATGGAGTTGAGATTTTATGTGTAGTCAAATTTTTAATTTTTAAAATTACATAAGATAAAGTGAAATTTTTGAGAAACTCGTCATTTTTAGAAAATTTTATCTCAAATAATATAAGACATATCAAAAAATGCTTTAAGTTTCAAGAATAAGAGAAAATATTTTTTTAAATCTTCATTTTTTCTTCAAATTGAAATGTGGGGCCAATAAAATGCCTTTAGCGGGCCACTGGTTGAAGACCCCTACCTTAAATGCAACTGTAGAATTAGTTTATTTTTATTCAATTCTCATAAATCATATAAAAACAAGGAATATTGACCAAGATTGATCTAAGATTGCCCAAGCAATGGACTAAATGCACAGATAAATAGCATTTAATTATTAACTTTAAATTTCATTAAACTATTAAAAAAAGTGTGAACAATTACATTATAAAGTGTGAAAAATTACATTACATTATACCATATTACTTGACAAATCTCCTCCCCCTTTCCCAAGCTGAAGAGAAGCACTTCATCCTAAGTGAACATAAGAAAATTTATTTTCACACATATGCTTCAAAAAAAGGTCTGTTCATTAAAACTGTGTTTTTAATTTTTAAGCTGAAAATGCTCACAGAATTTATCACAAGTATCATTTTAACCACTGATATCAAACTTAGAATTACAATTTTTGAAAGGGACTCAGCAGATTTATTTATTCAAAAATTAATATAAAGATTTTACATAAATAAAATATGCTTCATTAATCTGAACTAATTATAGATTAAGAAAATGCATATGTAGTTTTCAATGAAATTTCAAAAGGTTTGTTGAAACAAATGACCATTTGCAAAATTTTTCATGACTTGAATAAACAAATTTATTTTGCACATCTATGATTATTTGCAATATTGAAATATAATAAAAGTACTATTAAATATAACATTAAATATGTACAATTAATATGCTGTTCAATATCACAGTTAGTATAAATTCACATGTGTTCAACATATAACTTAACATTAATCTCTTACTCAAGTCATACAAATTTTGATTATTGTAATGATGACCAACAATTACAGCAAGGATCATTTAAATTTAAATTGCATGAGCTGACTTTTTCCATAAGATTGATCTCTAATTAAACAGGATTCAAAACACAACTTTTGCTCCATCCTAATGCACTTTTTTTCTACATGTTTTTGAATTTCACCACCAAAAACTAATGGACAGACTGGTGCTAAGTGAACGAACATAATGCCAACATCCAGGGGGTATATACAACAGATCTCCTTCTCTCAAGATACATTCTAGATAAGGAGCTTTGGGAAACAAAGGAAAAGCTTCTAAATCAGGATTCTCAACATCAACCTGAAAAGGAGATATGAGTATTACAAGATAAAAGATTAAAAATTGAAAATAAGCAAAATGTTTTTCATGCAATAGAAATACGAATCAAAACTAAAAGCAGGAAATTTTTTTTAAAATGTATGATCTCATGTGTCACAAAAGATAGACCTTGCACTAATAAAAGATTGAATATACACTGATTGGTTTAATTCAACATACCTGACTAGTATTACTCAACCATGAATTTGTTCTTGGATAGAGAAAATCAGTTGCTTCTTTGGGATACAATCTGATATACTTTTCTCCAATTACCTATTAACAAGATATATAATACATATTTAAGGTATAGTATAACAATGCAGTCTTCAACTGTGTAATGAAAGATGGTGCTTTATTTCAAGTATTAAATATAAGGAGTATTGTAAAAGTAAATAAAATTTATATACATTCATAGATAGTATACCTGTATAAAACTTTTCCTGAATATGAATAAACATTGCAGTAATACAGAATTCACTACTATATGTAACTTCTTAAAACATTATACCATTTTAGGCATTCAACAAAATTCTGTTTATGTCATTACTGCAGTCAGTCACATTTATTTAAGATGGCCAGATTTTGTAGTTCGAAATTCGGGACACTATATATTTAATTTTTTTAATATTTTTTTTAACAAATAAATTATTTCATTATTATTGTGTTGGAAGTGGTATGTAGGTAATATATATGCATATACATAAATCAAAATAAGTAATTTTTGTTTTATTTTTTAATAGTGATATATAATATTTTTAACAAGAATAAATCAAAATGCAGTATTCATTGTTAAACAAAGTAATACATTTATAAACCTTCTAAATTATTTTGATAAAGTAGCCTTATATTTCTCTGAAGCATGACTATTTCTTAGAATACTGTTACGAAATGTATAGGCCTGGTAAGATAGCTTCCCCGCAAAGCAGTTTGAGGGTTGCCATAAAATGGCAAGGGAAGGCATGGTTGCCACATTTGGCGACAAAATTGGCAATTTATCATGGACGGTTGAAGAACCTTCTGGAATGAATTCTTACCGGTTTAGCATAGAATGTTCTTGAACACCAGTCAAAAGCAATATAAACCCTGCTGGTACACGGAGAGTTAGTTATGTGTTAGAGTATGTGCCTCGCATAGAGTGCGAGAGTGTGTGCCTCGTCTAGAGTGCGAGATAGTTAGTATCGAGAGTGTGCTTCATCGAGAGGGCGAGTCAGAGTATCTCGTCGAGAGGACAGTTGACAGCCGGCCAGCGAGTGCTGAGTGGGTTGTTGAGTTCACCGAAGAAGTCTCTTGGTGTATCGCGGCTAGTGCATTGTCGAGAAAGCGTGTTGAACTCCGTGAACAACTGAACCGAAGACTAGGGAGCTGTGCTCTGTGTATCATCGAGTGCATCGCAAGTTGTAGCGTGGAGAGTCTCGAGAGTACGTGGAGTTCCGAGAACAACCAAGCAGAGTCGGGAGCTGTACTCTAGTGCTTTGCCGTGAAGCTGTCTCCACCATGATAGCCTGATAACCTGGAGGCTGTGTCACTGATCGTGTCAGCGTGTTTATAGTAGTTCATTGACGACTGTAAAAACATGTTTTGGAGCTGTCCTGACAATACTGACTAATAAAGTGTGTTTCAATACTTTATCAAGTGTCATCGTTATTCACTCCAAATCTACGAACCACGTACAAACGTGAAGGAAAAGAAAAATGTAACAATATCTTTTTCTTTGATCTTCTTAAGGTTCCTGCAATTTTCATCAAACTTTATTTTGATGATAAATATACCCTTCAAAATGTCCACTTTAAGCTGTACCTTATCACTAGTCCAAAAACTGTTCATAATACTAAATACTCGCTCAGCTGCAGCATTAGTGCAAGGAAAACAAAAGAAAAACTCTGGCCATTTTAAAACATTTGAGCAGGAATCTGGTTCTTATTAAAATATGTAGTTATTTCCATCCACCTCTGAGCTGGGCACATCTTATTTTTTCTTCTGTGATATATTGTTTAAGGCAAGCATACTCCTCAGACATATCAATTTCCAATAGTTTATGATTTGGTATTATTTTATTAATTAACAAAAAGGCTGTTTCAGCTTGACTCCAAGAAAAAATTTGATTTATTGCGATTCAGTGTTTACAATTTCCGTGAATGGATTTTGTCATTTCCATCTCCTGAAATATTTTTTTTTGTCTGTTTCTCCAAATAACTAAGAGCAGTCTGATAAAATGAAACAATAGCTTCTCAAAATTCAATAATTTTATTTCATGATACATCTCCATTCAAGTTTTTCTAGAGTTTTTTTTTAACATTTATTGGAATAAAGTTGTCCTCTGTCTTGCTCATCTTGCTCATTTACTGAAGCTTTAAGATCGACTACTGAAACAATTACATCAAATGCACATGTAGTCTGATTTTCAATTATTGTGATAATTTTATGTACTGAAGCCTAAGTGTTAATAAAACGTTACCAAGCTTCTGCCACTAGATATACAAACAATTTTGAAATAAGCTTGAGACACTTTGTTTGAAATTGAAAATAAACCTTAAGTGGTAAAAACATTTGGAGTACTCTTTTAATGGCAAAAAGTAACAATAAGCATCTTGTTTGTGAATACTCCAGGATCACTGAAAAATTGGCTTCTACGAAGTTGCAGAAATTTTTCAATGTTTCTACTCTAAGAGTACAGTATTTAAAATATATCTTAGAAATAATCATGTATATCAAATAGCAAAATAGCAAAACACAGCTGATGTTCTTAAAGTGTTACATTGGACTCCAATTAAACTATTGTTACAGTTTCATTTCAGTTTAAAAAAACATTATTTTCTCCACAAAGCTTCTCCAAAGTTAGAATTCGTATTATCAGCACAAAGACCATTCTTTAAAATTATTTTCTTCACAACAGGTAGTTAGGCAGTTAAATAGTTGCTGCAATATCAGATATTTCCCCAGATAAGAATTTAAATTTAAAAAACTTTACTGTAGCTCCTTAATCTAATTTAGTGTAAATCTAACAAAGTACTGGAAAAAGTTATATTTCCTTGTGATTGGATGCATCAGTTATGACTGAAACAAAATGAACAGTTTTCCAAATCATTAAGCAAAACTCTTAAGTCATAAAAACATTTAGTATTATTGCTTTGGCCTTGGTTTGCACAAATTTAAATTTAGGCTGAAATGCCACTTGGAGCGGCTTGGACTTACAATCCATACACCTAAAACTATGGTTGTGGCAAATAGTATGGTATGCAAAAGTACTTTCTACAGCAGCTAATTCTTCTTTATGACGCAGTTTTCTCCTACTTGAAGAAATTCTTTAAAGATGAGGTAGACGCAGCAGTACAGTTTGACATTTTATGTTTATCAACTTTAATATCTGTACGTCCACCATGATAATTTTGAAGATGTTCACAGCAAAGTATTGCACCATACACAAGAATCGCTTACAGTTTTTTCAATAAACGGGTATTCCTTCTGTAGGTCTTTGTTGAATGTACACTTTGGGGGATGGATGAAACCCATTACTAAAAAAATCAATTATAAAAATGAATTAAACAGTAGTAAAACATATCCTTAAATTGTATGTAATGCATCATTCATAAATAAAAAATATATGTCATTGTCAGACGAGAAACATTAATGTTTTGGCAGATTTAAAAAAAAAAATTTTAATCCTTATGTAAAATCAAAATGATGATGGAGTAAAAATTTTACAACCCAAACATGACAAAAGAAAGATGATTTAAATGCTTATATCTAAAAGAAATTTCAGCAAATGATAAAATAATTATTTTAATGTGTAAGAGGATGATACACACTAACATATGTAATTCACCATTGATAATTAAAAAATATATGTATATATTATAAATTTAAATCACAATCGAATTAATATATCAATTAAAAATTGCACTGCTGTCTGTAAGTGAAAGTCTAAACTGCAACTGTGAGCAAAAACTCCAAGTATGCTGGTGGGTTGAGGAGAGAAATACTGGAATCAGAAATAGAACTCCTCCACTACAGTTTTTCTGAGGTCAACACGAATCCTCCATTTATGCGGCCAGTATGGCATGTGTCTCTTAACTTACGCTTGTATTCTCAATTTGCAATCTATACTATTTAATAAATATATGCATTTAAACTTTTACATTCTCACATTATTGTTTTTCAGGGCAAATGCTATAAATTCGGGACCAATAAACAAGCTGTAAAAAATCGGTAGAGGGTCTGAAAATTCCGGACTCTCCTGGGAAATTCGGGGCTTATGGTCACCTTAATTTATTTCAGAGCTGAAATTCAGTGCATGTAATATTTATTTTAAATTTCATATACCTTAAGTGATAAACTTTTCAAAAAAATATTTTTAAGTGCAAACTAGGAAGTAAAATCATTCAATTCAAAACTAGGATTAAAAGTTATTGATGAAGATGCCACCAAATAGTTTCTCATAAAAGAAGTTGACTTAAAAGTATGACAGATGTTGATTAATTCAATTAAGTTCAAACTGTTTTCGGAAACAAAGTGGTCAACAAAAAAGTATCTAAAATTTATCAAATTAATGTCTTAACAAGCCCTAAGTATTTTTGGAATTATAGATATAATTTAAATGTTTCAGGATATTTTTTCCCTTTTACATTATAAATAAAATTTGCTTTCTATATTTATTTATTTACAAAATGCCATCAGATTAAATATAGGACAAGTCTTTTTCTAAATTTTCTTTCTTAATAATATTATTCACTACATATCTTTGTAATTCATTCACAATTTTATTAATATAACTGAATTTTAAAAAATGATATACTATATTCCTACTCTGGTATTGTTCTTTGACAGATTACAAAAGCCTGAAATAGGATCAATTTGTTATGCAAATCAATGATTGCCCTTACATCAATAACTCATCTCTAAAATAAGCAATTCCAAGAATAGAACATCTAGAACCATGGATGGATGCCTTAGAAAGGATTTATTCTTAAGTTATCATGAATGCCAATGAACAAACCTCTATTAACAATATTAAAAGATATAAAATGTAAGATTAACGAATTTATGCTAAAATGTTATCTACAAGCTAATAAGTGATACAATTGTAACAATGCTTCTTGAGCATAAAAAAGTGTTTCTTAAATTTATTGTGAGAGAACTCACTTGAGCTAAAAGATTGTGCTTGGGATCAAAGTGTAGAGGTGATATTGTACCACCAGGACCAAAGTATATACTAATATCAACTTCTGTGGTGGTTATATAAGTAGGAATTGCAATGTCGTCAAAAAGCTCAGGTATCTAAAATTGAAAAATAAATAAATAAAATAAAAAATAAATTACCCATATTATTTTAAGGTAAAGAAAGATTATCACAAGAATAGCAATGCAAAACCATTAACAGAACTCTTACACTGAAAATATATTTAAACTACCAAAAAATAAAATATAAGGGCAATAAAATTAGCTGCAACTCATATACAAGGAAAAAATACATAACAAGGGACAAAACAGAATAGCTACTATGCCTAACATATTTCAACATAATTTTAAACAACAGAAATTTGAATTCATCCATCAATAAAGTAATCAAGTAGCATATTATCACACATAGTAATAACATACTAATTTGGCATAAAATACTTTGCATATCACTATATCAAGCTTTAATAATTTTAGATATAATAGAAATGAGACACTACCCATGAAAAAAATAACATCTACATTTCATTTCAGTCATATAGCAGAATGTCATATTTGCATGACACACACTTTTTTTAATTTACATATTTTGAAATGCAAAATTCTGTTTCATATGATCCTGAAATACAAAATCACAAACGAACCTCCCATTCTTTAAACCCTGAGCATTCCCTTATAAAAGCTTTTGTTTGTTATCAGGAATGTTCAAAGAGTCAAGAACTGTCTGTTGAAGAATGCCCAATAAAGTGGAATATCTGTTAATGGAGATTCAATTATATATGCACTTTTAGGAGAGAGCTGCTGGGTGTCAATGTGCAGTTTTTTACAAAGGGTGAATGAAGAAATATGAGAGAAGAAGAATCATGTCCATAATCTTCCTGGATTCAACTCTGATGAAACTATTATATTTAACAGTTAAGGAACTCTGTTACAGAATGAGAAGTACATTAAAAAAATTCAGTCAGTAACTTAATTGTATACACATATTATTTTTGCATGGAAAATAAAAATCCAAATTGCTGATTTTACCTCTCTGCAAATTTCCAATCATTTGCAACTGATCAGTTTTCTTCATAACAATAAAAAGTCACATAGTTATGATAAAAGTGAAATTTTAAAAATAATAGGTGCAAGTTTGTTACTTTTTACTTTCTTGTATGAAGTAAAAAGGAAGTATTGTAATCGCAAAAAGTTTCAGGCAGTATATTTCAACGCAAATATCCCTTTTCACCGCTATCGAATGCAATTTAATGATATTTTTACGTGACATCTGTACGCAAGGACAGAATAAAGGACTATTTTCCTCAAAAAAATTGTAAAACGAATTTAAAATGAATTCTGAAAAAAATTTTCCGTGGCGTCTGTGCATACGTATGTATCTCACATAACTCAAAAACGAGTAGCCTCAGAACATTGAAATTTTGTATATAGGAGTGCTATAACATGCAGATGTGCACCTTGTATTTTGGTTGCAATCAGCCACAGCAAAAGTATATAAATGTATGTATATATATATATAATGTTGTATGATCTTAAATTCACTTTGTTCGAAAATAAATTATTGTAATACTTGCGAAATAGCTGCAAAGTAAGATAATAATAATTTATTTACGAAAGAAATATTGACTATATTATCTTCTAATATTAATTTTAGTAGAAGTATCTAAAAAGAGTGAACCAATAGGTAGGAAGTTTAATTCAAAAAATTGTTTTAAAGTAACTTGAATGTAAATTGTTAAAAATGTTTTACGGGACTTGAATTAAATCATGAATAATAAAATTTCAATTGGAAAAAGAAATTAAATTAAAAGCAAGTAATTATTGCTATTGATCGGAAATTAGTTGACTTTTCAAGGGGAAAAATCCAACTCCTGTTCAATGAACAATAACTAATAAATAAATATGAAGATGTTTCGTCTTTTACTCAAGTAATAATGTTGATGCCGAACTGGCAAATTCGGCCAAATATGTTCGTGAAGTGAAGGTATTTAGAACCAAAGTAGAGTACCAAAGAACTCATTCTTATTAAGCATTTCTGCTAATACAATTTTGAGTGAAAAGCAATTTATGTAGTAAAATTGATAAAATACTTGAGTAATTGTCCCCCAACACCCTCGTTTTTATGCATTTTAATTCAAAACCATTTGTAAAAAATTTAATCATTGGTAATTGGAATTATGAAATATAACTCAAAGTAATTGAAATAAACATTAGAAAATTGAGAAATATAATGTAATCTTTGCAAAAACAAATCAAATACAAAATTGAAAATTAATATATATAAAAAGAAAAGGCAATATCCACTCTGCTACTCGGCTCAGAGATCTCAGTTTCTTTATTCTTATATGTTTGTAAATTGTGCATTTTTTGCTTTAAAAATGATTGAATTATGTTGTTCTTATCTTCCGGTTAAGGTTTTTATGCCTTTAGTAAATCTGTCTGCAATATTTTTAAAATTATGAACAATTTAAAATTTGTTTAAGTGCCGCTAAGCCTAATAATTTTTGCCACGGTTGCCATTGCTTGTTTACATTTGAAACAGTAGAATAGATTTTGTTGCCAATCTAGAGAAAGTAAGCTTCGCAATAACAAAGATAAGGCCTTTTTTTATTATTGCGAATTGAATCATGCTTAATCCATTCTGGATTTATTCGAGGAAATAAGTGTTTAAGATTTACTTCATAATTTTCAATACAGACATTTTGAGCTTTTATGTACTTTTGCCTTGTCACGAAGTGAGAACTGAATTAATTGAATGAGAAATATTGAATCGTTTGTGAAAAACTGTTTCTTTTTTTTTGTTGTTCTTTACTTAATTTCTTTTATACATTGTTTTAGATTTATTATAGTATTTGAATAGAGCATGTGGCAAGGATTAGACAATTAAGATGATATAAATTTTGTGCAGTCTGAGTTAAAAAATGAATGAAATATAACACTGTTAAGTGAACCTAGGGCCAGAATGTCACTATGTTTGTTATGTAAAGTGAATTTTAAAGAGTGCATTTAATGTATTGTGGCTTATGTGCTATCGATGAGGTAGATTTAATTCAACCCAATAAGTTTAAATGAACTGCATGAAAAAATGCGAATAATTTAATATTCCGTACAAGGCAGTCATGTGGTGCACACATCAGATTTTTTTAGTCAAATACAACAAAGCACACAAGGGTAAGGACAGAAGGGATGTCTTTGATTTTAGGAAAACTGGATTTTATTTGTGTTATGATTCAGGGAAATAATGAAATGTCTAAGCAGCCAGTCCACTTGCCAGGATTTGAAATTGCATTGAACTATCAATGTTCAGTGTTCTTATTAACTTGCTATAAATGAATCAGTGAGTAGGTTTCATGAAATTTTATTTTAATAGTATTTTTTATTTACACAGAACTTCGAACAAAACAAAAGAAGTCAGATTTGAAAGTTCAGGTTAGGTTAAGTTATGTGTTCATTAATGTGTTCATTAACTATGGGGAAATGTGCAAGGGATGTGGAACTTAATGTGGTCTTTGTGTATTATTATGTCAACCGCTGCAGAAATTTTAGCAATGGCAATCTTTACTGCGGAATTTTAAAGGAAGTGATAATCCATAATTGGTGTTAAGTCGTGCTACTCGGTTGGATCATACGCAAGTACATATGTTATACAAGGAGTAAAAACACAAAAAGCAGTCAACTAAAATCAAGTTCAAAATGAAACTATTAGTGCATTTTTTTTATTACTTAGCCACTGGAAGGCAAGAATAAAACAATAAATGTAAATATCATCATATGCAAATCATGTAATCCATTTCATTACCTATAATTAACCTCAATATATTATATTTTTAATAATATTTTTTTCATAATTTTACTAACACTTGGCTTCTGTTCCCATTCAGATACAATCTAATTAAATAAAAACTATCACACTTTTAATGAAGACATACATGAAGCATAATGAGCACACAGGCACAAAAAAAAAAAAAAAAAAAAAAAAAAAAAAAAAAAAAAGAGGTACCAATTTTTTTACCTTGGGGAGGGGAAAAAAAAAAACCTCTTTAAAGGAACATTATAAATAACCAAAGATTTAAAAGTCAAACATAGTTTAACACCTTGTGCTTATTCAATATAAAAGCTTATTCTTGCAATGGCACCTTTTACGTACAAATTATTTATTACTTAGCATATAATTTTTGTAATATTTCCAACAAATTTATAATGACAGTAAGTTTTATACTATTATAAAATGTGATGGAAATATAAGAAGCCTGTATTTCATGGAATTTTTAAAGCTTGTTCAAATCCAGCTAAAAGCTTTCTCAAAGTATATTAAAAATACAAAGGTTCAAACTGATTTCAGATAGCTGATAACTTTCACATCTTTTGTCTTTTAAATTCAATACAAAATTAATATTTAAAAAAATCTGAAAGCAATAAGATTTTAGTGATTGCTCATAAGAGCTATTTTTAAGTTTAAGGTTTATCATTAGAAATTATCAATCGAGATGGTCCAGCTGGAATAGCGCAACACTTTATAGAATATTAGATGAATGTACATTTAGACTAATACAGAAACATTATGTATCTTTCATACATTTAAAATTAGAAAACATGTAAAGTAATTCTATAAAAATAGTTAATGCTTTTAATTAGAAAAGAAGTAGTCAATGTGTTGAGAAGAAAGTACGCTAATACTAAATAAATTAGCACAAAGTGCTGCTAAATTTTAATTGAAGTTTAAAAGTAATGCTAGATCCAACTCATCAGCAAGAAGACATGAATTTTACCAAATAAAATAATACATTAACTACATTAAATCAAAAATCTAAGATACTAAGACATCGATCTGATATATCAATATCTGATATATAAATTATAATATAATTCTGATTGATATATCATGAAATAAATGCATTTTTATTTAAATCAATCAGATTAAAAAGTTAAAAAAAAATTAAGAACTGCACCTATTGCTTTTTAATATTTTAGTTTTTTAATTATAGACAGATTAAATATGAAATAATACCTAATGTTTTCCCAAGTGGTAACAAACTCCAATAAAAAGTGAAACGATGCAAAATGGTGTTTTGAGACTAAAGCTCTTTCGGACTAAAGAT